ATTTCTCGCTTTCTGTCTCTATGTCTCTGTCTGTCTGGCGAGCGCATGCGCCCTACAGTGAAAATCTCTCAAAAAAAAAAAATTTTTTTTTTTTGCTATAGGGTGTGTGCGCTTGGCCAGAGAAAGAGGGAAAGGGAGAAACCACCCCCTGGGAAGATGACCACACCACAGTCCCTTCTCCAGAATTTTGGGCATATCCATAAATGTGCTCAGTGTGATTTTCAAGCTGCTGGGTCTGGGATTTGAACTGTGGAACCAGTCAAGTGGGATCCAGTGGTCTTAACCTCCATATTACCTGCTGACCCATCTTAACCATTTTTAAGTGGTGTTAAGGATATTCACATTGCACAACTAATCTCCAGAACTTCATTCTGTAGAAATGAAACTTTCTATCCATTCAGTTCTGCAATTTAGTAAAGAAAATCTGAATATAAAAAGCTTCATTTGGGGACCAGCAGGTGGCGTGGTGTTTAAGGCGCTGGACACTCCCTCATGGCTGACCACAGTTCAAATCCTGGGCCTGATGGTTTGCTTTCTCACTTTCTCTCTCTCTCGTCAAATTAAAATGAATGAATGAATAAATAAAACTAAAATAAAAATAAAAATAAAAATAATTCTTTTTTAAAAAAGCTTCATTTGTTCAATGAAAACCAACAATAATTACAATTTGCTCATTCTGGGCAGGACACACTTCCACAAACTCTACGGAGATAGAAAAGAAATCACAAATACTGCTCCTACGAAATGGAAAGTCCTGGAAGGCAGGTGCAGGGGGTATTGTATTTCCAGTGTTTTGCACAGTATCTGTTAGAGGCTGTTGACTGGGGACGGCAGGCGGCATAGTGGTTAAGGTGCTGGACTCCCATATGGCTGACCACAGTTCCGAGTGCCAAACCTGGTGCCTTGAAAATCACACCAGGTGTGTGTGTGTGTGTGTGTGTGTGTGTGTGTGTGTGTATACCCAAAATCCCAAAAGGAGAGTGGAGGAGAGGGATTGCAAAGTAAGGGGGGGGGGTGTGATCTCTCGATCTCTCACTTTCCCTCTTACTGTCTCTCTCTGGCAAGAGCACACATACCATGGCAAAAACCTTAAAATAATCATTTAAAAAGAGGGTGTTGACTGGTAATACTCACAACAGGCATGAAGGCTAAATTCTACTAGCCTCACTCCCCAGCCCCAGCCCCTACCTGGGAAGGGATACCAGGTCCCCAGAGCCCATGGCTCCAGCCATTGGAGTTTGGGCACTTATGACCCAGTGTTCTTGCAGCCCTGTCTCCTCCTGGTGGGCCTGCACCCAGCACCCAGCACAGCGCCTGCACCCTCTATGCTCCCAGCACTCGCCATGCCTCTATTCATTCTGTAGCTCCCTCCCTGCCCTCTTCTTTATGCATCTTTCTTTCAGCACTTTCTGTACTTTTCCTTCAGTAAAGTAACTTTTCCCTCATCCCCTGCACCTCATTCACATTCTCTTGGGAACCAGACTCACCCCACACCTTAGTGAGGTGACATTTTACATCCTAACACCATCTTTTTAACTTACCTGTTTGTAACTTAGGCCATACTGTGATTTAGAAAACTGGCAGGGTTGGGACCAACAGATGGCAGAATGGGTACATGTTGCTGGACTCCCATGTAGTCAACTGTGGTTCAAGTCCCGGCCCTGGCAGCTTAAAACTCACACTGGGTGGGTGTGCGTGCATGCGTGCCCGAGATCCCGAGAAGAGAGTGGAGAAGGGAGATGCAGTATGGACATGCCCCTGGAGGGTGATTTCCTGCTTTCTGTCTCTCTGTCTCTGTCTTTCCAGCGAGCACACGTGTCCTATAGCAAAAATCTCTCCCCCCCCCAAAAAAAAAGTATGTAAAAAAAAAAAAATTGGTAGGGTTTTTTTGTTGACTTAATATACCTTATAATTTTTCCTACTTAAAATCATAGGAGAGGCCAGAAATTCAGACTGTTAACTCCTCTGTGCCCGCCAACATAATAAACAGTTCTCCTAAAAAAAAAAAAAAAAAAAAATCATAGGAGATAAGTTCTTCTTAGATTTTCTTCATGTAGAAAGGCTGATATTTCTGCCACAGATTATTGACAATTACTAATGGCAAATGACTTCTGGTCTTGTCTTAGTTTAGAAATTTTTTAAGTTTATTTATTTCTTCCATGAGAGGGAGAAACAAGAGAAAGAAGTACCCTCAACAGCGGCCTCCCACCGCATTCTACTCCCCAGTTTCAGTCACCTGATCACCACTGGACGTCCTAAAGATGTTCAGGGAGGACCCAGAACTTGAACCCGGGACCTTTCCCATCCATGTGGGCTCAGCTGTGTTACCTCTATGCCACCACCTGGTCCCTTACATGTTAAATTACTTACCTGGTGAATTTCTTTATTTCTTCCAAATCTGGCAGTAAAAAGGATCTTCCAGGAAGAAGCAGCACTAATATTCTACTGTTGTGTGTCCTCCCGAAGATAAATAGGAGCTGCGCATACTTCAGGTTGAGAAAAGTGTTTGTAATGTAGCACTTGGGGTCAACAGCAAAAACTAATAAAAATGCCTTAAGAGAATTACCACTGTAAATCCCCCAGAGCAACAAATGATTAAAAGCAGTTCCAAAGGAATACTCAAAAGGGGATATTAAAAGTGGTTGTCAGAGCGTCCCACTGCAGGGCAGAGACGCAGAAAGTGTGTATTACACAACCCCTAACGTTTTGGAGAAGGTCCAATGCGAACCTGAGATCCTGTTGGCCTGTAGGGCTGCTGGCCAGGAGGAGGTCCACAATAGTGCAACGAAGTCTTGCAGAACCAGAAAGTGAGAGGGGTCAGAAAAGCAGCACGGGTGTGGTCCCCCAAAACGCCATCGGGGGCTTCTAAACTGTAAGGCTGTATATCCTGAACGCATAACGCAGGAACTAGGCCTTTCCACTGTCCGTTTTCCTCCTTTTCCTTAGTGGTGGAGCGGTCCCTTTCAGGGCCCTGATCTAGGTACGGACCGTTCAGCCAGCCCAAGGGTCTACCGAGGGATCCGTGGCGAACCCCAAGTCCGAAAGTCCGCACCGAGGACTTACAGCAGCTCCGAGGGATGGAGGGAAAGTGGGTCTGGAAAGGCAAGCGCCAGGTTCCCAGGCACCGGGTATTTTTATTTTAGGCCGTGAAATTACGGTTTCGAATACCCATCTGGGCACTTCTGCGCCGGCTCCTGAGAAACTGTCCAGAAACTAGCAGACTCAGCGGCAGCCGGCGTCCCAGCCCGTTAGTGCGCGACCCAACCGCACTGCGCATGCCCGCGCGCCGGACGGATGGGGGCGGTGGGGGCGGGGGGGGGAGCCGCGAGGGGCGGGCCTAACAGGAATCCCGGCGAGCGTGGCCATGCTGCGCCGGCTGCAGGAGGTGCCCAGGCACCTACTCGTCTGCGAAAAGTCCAACTTTGGCCACGACAAGTCGCGCCACCGGCATCTGGTGCAGACGCACTACCATAATTACAGGGTGAGTCCGGCCGCCCCCGGGAGGGGCAGATGTGAGGGGAGCGCGCTCTGGATCCCGAGCCGGGCCCGCTCTGGTCGCGCGGAGCGGAGCAGGAACCGGGCTGCCGGACTACAGCTCAGCGCGCGCGGCCCGCGGGGATCCGGCGCGGCAGGAGCAAGGGAGCGCTGCAAGCCTGCGGTGGTCCCCGTTGGTCCCCAGCGGTCCTGCTGCACGCGGATGAGTCCCGGGAGGGGTGTGAAGGCAGCGGCCCGACTGAGGATCAGGACCGTGTGGCTGCTGCGACGTGCGGCCTCGTGCACCTCGCCAGTGCCCAATACCCGGGAGAGTCTCGCTCCCCTCCCCATCCTCGCCTTCCTCTGCAGCCTGATTTCTTCTCCCACGTCTGGATCTTACCTGAGTCTGGTGCCTGGCCCCGGCCCAGGAAGCCGCCTGCTTTTCCAAACTGCTCTTGGGCACCGCGTTGGTATATGAGAAACTACAGCATCGTACACTTGGAGTAACTCGCGCCCGACTGGCCAAGATGCAGAGTGGTGTGTGAGCTTTGGGAAAGCGACTTTCCAGATGTGGACCGACTTTCCAGATGTGGACCGCTTGGGCCACTTGGAACCCGTCAAAGCTCATCACAGAGATCAGAGATGAAGACCGCAGCCCCCATCGTCTGATCTGCGGAATTTTTGTCTAGAAAATGGAAACCTTCATGACTTTGGCTTTCATAACCGCTTCATGATGGGATGTCCATGAATAATTTTTTTTTTTTGGAGAGGTTTTTTCGCTATAGGTCGCGTGCGTTCCCCAGACAGACAGAGAGACAGAGAGACAGATAAGCGAGAAATCACCCCCCCAGGGGGGATGGCCATGCCACAATCCCTTCTCCTCCATTCTCCTCTCAGGATCTTGGGCACGCACGCACACGTGCCCGGCGTGAGTTTAAGCCACCGGTCCAAGACTCGAACCACAGTTGACTACGTGGGAGTCCAGCGACATAGCCATTACGCTAACTGCTGGTTCCCTCCTTGAGTAATTCTTTATGCCCTAAGAGACAGTTGCACTGATTCCAGGACGGTACCCAGATAGACACATCTAGAGATTCCATTGTATTGAATTTCCTTGAAAATAAAATAGTGGGAGGCATAGGGCATAAAATACATTGTAAAAGGCAGAAGGCAAGCAAGATCTCATGAAAAGATTGAGGCTCTGGGACCAGCAGTTAGCGTAATGGCTATGTCGCTGGACTCCCATGTAGTCGACCGCGGTTCACTTCCCGCACCCGGTGGCTTAAAACTCAAGCCGGGTGTGTGTGCGTGCGTGCCCAAGATCCCAAGAGGAGAATGGAGAAGGGATTGTGGCGTGGCCATCCCCCCTGGGGGATGATTTCTCACTTTCTGTCTGTCTGTCTCTCTGTCTGGAAAGCGCTCGCACCCTCTCCAAAAACAAAAAAGTTTGAGGCTCATTTGTTTTTGGCTGAGATTGGTTCGTTGCTTGATGAGTTTTGTAGCCTGTCATTTTTATGTTCCAGAGAATCCCGTGGGAACGAGTTAGCAATTCTCAAGTTTTACTCATTTTCCTGAACACCTGGAGGTTAAATCTACCTGATGGTAAGACCTGGTGTGTTTTGCATGTTCCGATAGGTTTCATTTCTCATTCCTGAATGCGCGATACTATCAAGAGAACTGAAAAGCCTGGTCATGGAAATGGGGCCCTATTACGTGGTGAAGAATTTACCGCTTCATGAGTTAATTACACACGAATTCATCAACACCTTTGTAAAGAAAGGTAAGAAAATCTGTGTAGTAGCTGTGAACACGGCAAGATGAAGACATATAGGAGACTGCTTCATACTACAATGGCTCTTGCTCTGTGTGTGTGTGTGTGTGTGTGTGTGTGTGTGTGTCCGTGTCCGTGTCCTTCGGCTACAGCAGTTGTACACATGAGAGTGACAGAGTACTAAGCACCCTCCATAGTGTTTGGTCATGTTACTGTCCTCTTCTGCCAGTCCTCCAGCCCGAAGTGTTATGGACTGTCCGGGCTGGGGATTCGAACCATGGTTACCATGCAGGATCTGGCTTCTTTTATGCAGCACTTTACCTTCAAGCCTTGGACCAGCCAGTTCTTCTCTTGTTTTAAATAGGGCCTGGGGGCTCGTCTGTGGTCAGAGACACATGCCACTCCCTATGTCTCTGTGTTCTCATGCTAGTCTTTCTTGTCTCTTTTTAACAATTTTTTTAAAGAATTATTTATTTAATTTTATTATTTTTAGGACTTTTTAAAAAAGATTTATTTATTTTACTTAACTTTGTTACTTACTTTTAATTTTACCACAGAGAGACAGAGAGAGGAAGGGAAAGCGAGGAAGCAAGCCACCAAATCCAGGACTCGAACCATGTTTGGCCATGTGGGAGTCCAGCACCTTAACCAGCACGCTACCTGCCAGCCCCAATTTATTATTATTTTTTAAAATTATTTTATTTAACTTTACGTATTTTTTAATTTGACCAGAGGGGGACAGAGTGAGAGAGAGAGGGAAAGTGAGAAAGCAAGCCACCAGATCCAGGACTCAAACCGTGGTTGGCCACACGGAAGTCTAGCGCTCTTAACCTCCACGTCACCTGCCAGCCCCTTATTACTATTTTTTAAATTTGACCAGAGAGAGAGGGAAAGTGAGAAAGCAAGCCATCAGGTCCAGGACTTGAACCACGGTCCAGCGCCTTAACCACTATGCCACCTGCTGACCCCTCTTGTGTCCTTTTTAAGATGGTGGTTTCTGGTTATGCTCGCCCACCAATGTTGAGTGGGGGTGTTGTAACACGAGGGCATCTGTCGTCTTAAAACAAGGTTAACAGAGGGAACCAGCAGTTGGTGTAATGGCTATGTTGCTGGACTCCCACGTAGTCCATCGGTTCGCGTCCCAGACCCGGTGGCTTAAAACTCACGCCGGGTGCGTGTGTATGCGTGCCCAAGATCCCGAGAGGAGAATGAAGGAGAAGGGATTGCGGCATGACCATCTCCTCTGGGGGGTGATTACTCGCTTTCTGTCTCTATGTCTCTCTCTGTCTGGCGAGTGCACACGCCCTATAGCGAAAAACCTCTCCAAAAAAAACCCCCCAAGATTAACAGAAAAGCCTTGCGTGCTCTGTTCAGGTGCACTGCTATTGGGTTTGTCGCTGCGAAGACACTGCTCTCAGGAGCCCCCACAAGCAGCTGTCACAGGAGGGCATTCTCCTGATGCAGCCACAGCTGCCATTCTGAGTGGGTGCTCCTGGTGGGTTGGTACCTTCTGCTTAAGTTTTGTGGCTCTGACCCTCTTCCGTTCATTCTAGTCCCAACCATATTTGCTGGGCTGACTGGATCGTTCCAGTTATTTCCTGGGAGCCATTTGTTTAAAACTGTATTTCAGAGGGCTTCCTCCGTCACTATAGAAGCCATGTGCTTAGAGCCACAGGTGGTGTGGTGGTTAAGGGTGTTGGACTCCCACATGGCTGACTGTGGTTCGAGTCCTGGACCTGGCAGCTTGCTTTCTCACTTTCCCTTTCTCTCTCTCTCTCACTCTGTCCCTCTCTGGCCAAATTAAAAATGAATAAATAAAGAAAGTTAAATAAAATAATTCTTTCTGTCTTTTTTGGGGGGGAGAGGTTTTTGCTATAGGGTGCGTGTGCTCGCTAGAAAAACAGAGAAAGAGAGACAGAAAGCAAGAAATCACACACACACACACACACACACACACACACACACGCCCCCAGGGGGGATGGCCACACCACAATCCCTTCTCCTCCATTCTCCTCTTCGGATCTTGGGCACGCACGCACACGCGCCCAGCGTGAGTTTAAGCCACCGGGTCCAGGACTTGAACCACGGTTGACTACATAGGAATTCAATGACATAGCCATTACGCTAACTGCTGGTCCCAACTAATTCTTTAAAAAAAAAAAGAAGCAATGTGCTTACCTTGTTGTGACACACCCCCCCTTTCCTCCTCTCTAGGGAAGCTGTGTCTAGTTACTTAGAACCCCTCATTCCAGCTGGGCTTGCTTATGAAGCTGGTGCTCTTGCCTTTGGCCTCGTCAACGTTATCCTTTTTATCTCTTTTGAAGTCAGATGCTACTTTGTCCATAATATGACTGCTCCTTCTAGCAGGCACTTTTAAATATCTTACCCGATTTAACCCTTGCAACAGCTCAGTGAATGAGGCCTATGCTCCCCGTTGAAGAGGTAAGAAAACAGGCTTGGAGAGGTTGAGGAGCTTTGTTATTTTCCTGGACTCCCGCCTGTTAGGTGTGTACTTCGCCGGTGTTCTCTGTCTGTTGGCATCCCCGAGGCTACGTGTTCCACTCTGAGTCCATTTTCTACGTGATCATAGTAAATGTGCACGAATAGCTCCCCATGGGGGAGTGAACGAGCTAGAGCACAGTCTTCTGGGAGCCCCGGCTGACCCTTGGCTGGTTAGGTTTACTGAGGGAGCTGGAGCAGTGGTGGATGCTGACCATGACATTTTGGGGGATTCGTTATGTGGAAATAATCCACTAGCGTTTTGCAGGTGTGATTTCTTTTCCTTTGTCTTAATTGCTCCTCTGGACTTCGTCTTCTAGGTTCATGCTATGCACTGACGTACAATACAAATATTGATGAAGACAATACTGTGGCCCTGCTACCAAATGGTAACAATACTCTTTTTTTTTTTTTTTCCATTTTTTGCTTTCTTTAATTATAAAAGAAATGCATATTATTAAAAACAAAAACAAAGAAACAATTCATACAGATCTAGTGTATGTCCTTCTGGGTATCCCCTGTCCTCCAAACTCACTCCACTTTTTTTTTTTTTTTTTTTTAAGGAGGTTTTTGCCTTAAGGTGTGTACACTCACCAAAGAGAGACACTGAAAGGGAAAGTGAGAAATCTTCCCCAACGGGGAATGGCCATGCCGCAGTCCCTTCTCCTCCATTCTCCTCCTAGGATCTTGGGCAGATGCACACATTCCCGGTATGATTTTTCAAGCCACCAGATCCAGGATTCGAACTGTGGTCAGCCATTAGAGAGTCCAGCCATGTAATCGCTACACCATTCGCTCCCCTTCTTAGAAGCAACTATTGTTAAGTAGTTTGTTATTTATTTTTCCAGACATTTTCTATGAATTTATTCACATAAAAAGGTTGTGTTTTTTTCTCAATTTTTTTTTCTTGAAGAGGGTTTTGCTATAGGGCGCATGTGCTCGCCAGAAAGAAAGAGACAGACAGAGAGACAGAAAGAGAGAAATCACTCCCCAGGGAGGATGGTTATGCCACAATTCCTTCTCCTCCATTCTTCTCTCGGGATCTTGGACATGCATGCACACGTGCCCAGCTTGAGTTTAAGTCACTGGGTCCGGGACTCGAACCATAGTTGACTGTGTGGGAGTCCAGCAGCATAGCCATTATGCCAACTGCTGGTCCCCTCAATATTTTTTCTCTCTAACCTATATGTTGCAGACATCTTTCCACGTAGTACTTACAGTACTAACTTACTTCTCTTGATGTCTCAAAGATATTGGGAATAACAAATATACAGTGATTGGTTTAATGATTTCTTTTTTTTTTTTTTAAGTTTCTTTCTTCCATGAGTGAGAGAAAGACATGCACCCCCGATAGGATCTTTTATTTATTTATTTTTTGAAGAGGTTTTTGCTATAGGGCGTGTGTGCTCGCCAGACAGACAGAGAGACAGAGAGACAGAAAGTGAGAAATCACCCCCCAGGAGGGATGGCCACGCCGCAGTCCCTTCTCCTCCATTCTCCTCTCGGCATCTTGGGCACGCACACACATGTGCCTGGCATGAGTTTAAGCCACCAGGTCCAGGTCTCGAACCACGGTCGACTACGTGGGAGTCCAGCAACATAGCCATTATGCTAACTGCTGGTCCCCCCTCCATAGGATCTTGACACCAAAATCCAGCCTGCCCTGTCCTCAGATCATGGGCACATGCATGTCTGGCATACTCAGGGAGGGCTTGGGATATGAACCCAGGACCCTCTCACGAGTCAGTGTCAAAAAGCATCATATTTTACCATTGTGTCACTATCCAGCCTCCCGATTCCTTCTTTAATAGAAATTTAGATGGTCTGGTTTCACTACTGCAACAGCCTTCTATGATAATGAAATAATGTCTTTGTACTATAAATAAGATTCTTGCGTGCCGTTTCTTATACTGATAAAAAGCAAGCCTTGCTTGCTTTTACTCTGAGAACACAAGTCATATTTTTAGCTTCTCTTATTGGACCTATTATTTATTTGATTTATAGGGAAATTAATTTTGTCATTGGATAAAGATACTTATGAAGAAACTGGACTTCAGGGTCATCCATCTCGGTATTCTGGCAGAAAAGTTATGAAATTTAGTAAGTATTATGTGTGCTCTGTCCATTTCTAACAATTCAATAATATCCCCGTAGCAATTTACATTTGAATGGCTTGAATTACCTCTGATCTCTTTGGTCAGAAAAATAGGACTTTTTCTTGTCTTTTTTTGTTTTTGTTTTTGTTTTTGTTTTGAGAGTTTTTGCTATAGGGCGCATGCTCTTGCCAGACAGACATAGAGACAGAAAGTGAGAAATCACCCCCCAGGGGGGATGGCCACGCCGCAATCCCTTCTCCTACATTCTCCTCTCAGGATCTTGGGCATGCACGCATACACGCCTGGCGTGAGTTTAAGCCACCAGGTCTGGGACGCAAACCGCGGTCGACTACATGGAAGTCCAGCCACATAGCCATTACGCTAACTGCTGGGCTCAGGACTTTTTCTTGTCTTTAAGACTTCTGACTCAGGGAGTTGTTGGTTGGGCTTCACAGAGGACAAGATGGTACTGGTGAATCTCTTTCTCTTCAACTGTCTTCTGTATTTTATATAAAAATTATAGAATTGGACTTTTGTATTAGATGTGCATGTTTGGGGTCAACAATTCAAATTACAATACAAGATAGGAATCTACAACTTCTCTTTTTTTTTTTTTTTTAAGTTTTTATTTATTTCTTAATCTTTGAGAGAGAGAGATAGACAGGCACCCTGACAGGGTCTTCACACCACAGTTCACCCCAGGCCTCAGCCAGTCCAGATCACAGGGATGTGTGGGCACCTGGTAACTTCAGGAAAACCTTGGGGTGTAAACTTGGGACCTGCTCATTACAGAGCCCTGTGTTACTCCTGTGTCACCATTTGGCACCTACAACGTGTTGAGAATTTCCTTTGATTACCCCAAGTCTTTATGATTGGGGTAGAATTGCAAGTGTGAGTGAAGAAAACAGTTCTGCTCACAGTGTCTGGCTTAGACATTGATAATTAAGGCTATAACCTCAGGTAGATAGGTATTGACCTTTTTTCTTATTTTTTATTTAACTTTATTTATTTTAATTTAACCAGAGAGGGACAGAGTAAGAGAGAGGGAAAGTGAGAAAGTAAGCCGTCAGGTCCGGGACTCAAACCGCGGTCGGCCATGTGGGAGTCCAGTTCCTTAACCACCACACAACCTGCCAGCCTCAGTATTGACCCTTAAGGACCTCTGTCCTATGACCTAGGAATATATACAGTATAAACATGTGTCTTGGGGCTAGCAGGTGGCTGGAGGTCAAGGCAACTGTATCCTACATGGCTGTGTGGTTTGAGTCCCAGACTAAGCAGCTTGAACAACACCGGGCATGGGTGTGTGCATGCCCAAAATCCTGAGAGGAGAATGAGGAGAAGGGATTGCAGTGTGACCATTCCCTTCTGGTTGATTTCTCACTTTCCCTCTCTCTTTCTGTTCGTTTCGGGCAAAGACACATGCCCTATAGCAGAAACTTAAAAAAAAATATGTATATATTATTGTTATTAATGTTAGAAATACCCACCAAGGGGTTGTTTTTGATTTGGTGCAAAAAGAAGGGAATCTGAGAACAAAATCATTTGTACTATCTATAAAAAATTCCCAAACTTCTGGGACCAGCAATTAGTGTAATGGCTATGTCGCTGGACTCCCATGTAGTCGACTGTGGTTTGAGTCCTGGACCTGGTGACTTAAATTCACGCTGGGCACGTGTGCGTGTGTGCCCAAGATCCCAAGAGGAGAGTGGAGGAGAAGGGATTACAGCGTGGCCATCCCCCTGGGGGGTGATTTCTCGCTTTCTGTCTCTCTGTCTTTCTCTGTCTCTCTGGCGAGCGCACGCGCCCTATAGCAAAAACCTCTCAAAAAGAAAAAAGAAAATTCCCAAACTTCTGATTACAAGCTGTGTACTTATGAATGATATTCATATTCTTTTTTTTTCTCCACTTCTTAAGTTGTTTCCATTGATTTGATGGATTTGTCCAATAACCCGGATTCTAAGAAGTATGGAAGAACATCTTGGTCCCTCAAAGAAAAGAAGCCATTGAAATTCGATTTTCTTTTAGCTCGGCATAACGCAGGTATGGAAAATAAGTGATGCAGTGATACAGTGATTTCGAAATCTAATTTTTAATTAAAGAGGCGTAACGGAGGATCGAATGGTGGTTCACCACTATGGTTGAGGGACATTGTGAACCTCGGTGGGTAGACGTTACTAAGAAAGCTGCTTTGTCCTCTCAGATGTCACTGCACACTATAGTTAGGATAGTCTAGGCCTGCAAGCCATCTGCCCGATCTCCTAGGTCTGTATGTAGATCGGGAGATATCGAGGGTGTCTTCAGAGTAGCTAAATTATGGATTTCTCTCCTTTCTTCCCTCCAGGTTACCTCAAACAGTCTTGGCTTTCCTATTTCAAGATAACACCACCTGTTATGTACACGATCTGTTTGTTCATTATTACAGGGTATTTACTCAGGCATGGCTTTGAAACTCAGATTAAATTTGTTGTAACTTTTAGCTGATTAGAACACTAAATTTACTTTAGTGTTTACTCATCAGATTTTTTAAAATAATTATTTATTTAATTTTATTTATTCATTGATTTATTTTAATTTGACCAGAGAGAGATACTCAGAGAGAGAGAGAGAGGGGGAAAGTGAGAAAGCAAGCCACCAGGTCCGGGATTTGAACCGCAGTCGGCCATGTGGGAGTGTCCAGCACCTTAACCACCATACCACCTGCTGGTCCCCACTTGTCGGATATTTTAATCTGCTTATAACTGCCATGCACGTTGATCCTTTAGAAGGATATCTTGGCTCATCCCAAGATTAATGCATCAACTCATCAGGAATTATGATGGGGTAGTACTTTGTTTTAGAGGATAGGGAATCAGTGAGGTCCATTTTAAAAATAGGCCCATCTGAGGGACCAGCAGTTAGCATAATGGCTATGTCACTGGACTCCCATGTAGTCAACTGCGGTTCGAGTCCCGGACCTGGTGGCTTAAACTCATAGTGGGCATGTGTGCGTGCGTGCTCAAGATCCTAAGAGGAGAATGGAGGAGAAGGGATTGCAGCGTGGCCATCCCCTCTGGGGGGTGATTTCTCGCTTTCTGTCTCTCTGTCTTTCTGGCAAGCACATGGGACCCATGGCAAAAACCTCCCCACCCCCATCCCCAAAAGAAAATGACACTCTGGAGTTTACTGAGTTTCCAAAGGTAAACTTGTGTGAGATTCTGTCATCAGTTCAGTTCTATCCTCATTCTTCTAGCTCCTTCATAGAGATTGTGAAAAAGGGGACCAGCAGATGGTGTAATCGTTACATTGTCAGACTCCCACATAGTCAACTGTAGTTTGAATCCTGGACCTGGCGGCTTAAAACTCATGCTGGGCATGTGTGCGTGCGTGCCCAAAATCCTGAGATGAGAATGGAAGAGAAGGGATTGTGGTGTGGCCATCTCCCCAGGTAGTGACTTCTTGCATTCTGTCTCAGGCTAGCACATGCACCCTGTAGCAAAAATCTCTAAAAAAAGAAAAAGAGATCGTGCAAATATGCTCCTTTTTAGCGTTCACCAGTCTCACTCATCTGAGTGTCTTTGGTTTTATGTATGAAGTTGAAATTTTTCTCTTAGTCCAGGCTTTGAAACTATTATGGGTCTGACCTGAAAGTATTGAGCTTTTTTTTTTTTTTTTAAAGAGGTTTTTGCTATAGGGCGCATGTGCTCACCAGACAGACAGAGACAGAGAGACAGAAAGCGAGAAATCACCCCCAGGGAGGATGGCCACGCCGCAATCCCTTCTCCTCCATTCTCCTCTCGGGATCTTGGGCACGCACGCACATGCGCCCAGCGTGAGTTTTAAGCCACCGAGTCCGGGATGCGAACTGCAGTTGACTACATGGGAGTCCAGTGACATAGCCATTATGCTAACTGCTGGTCCCAGTATTAAGCTTTTCTAGGGTAAGAGTGAAAACAATGTTTTAGTGCTGACAGCAAGTGTAAATGATTGTAATTTGAACACAGCCTTGCGTAGTGTCTTTCTCACTTAACCCCACCTGATTCTCAGAGCTCTCAGATGGGAATGGGGGAGTTTCAGGGACTAACCAAACTTGTTTACAATATGCCAGTGACCTTACATGGTGTGTTTTAAGGTGCAGAAGAATCAACAATGATGTCATACTTTTCCAGTTACCAAATTCAAGAGCATCAACCAAAAGTAGCCCTGAGCACATTGAGAGATCTCCAGTGCCCCGTGCTACAGAGCAACGCGCTCAGCGGAGAGCCGGAGGCGTCCTGCAGTGCTCCAGAGCTCTTTGACTGGCTTGGCGCCGTCTTCAGTAACGTGGACCTGTAGGTATCTGAGCTCTCTGGGTTTGGTAGGGCTCTGGCAGTTTGCTTCTTGTATTTTGTTGGTTGTTTCGTAAGTTTATTTTATGTCTTTTGTGTTGGGTGGGGAGCAGCTTTCTTGGGTTTTTATCACACTGTGATTTCCCCCTCTCCAGCCTCCTAGCCAGTCAGAATCATGGGCACTTGGCACATGCTCTACTCAGGTTGACCAGAATGCAAACCGCAGTCTTCCACACGGCCTCTCATGTAGCAGAACCGTGCCCCCCAGCTCTGCTACTGCAGCTGGGTCCACTTGTTGTTGTTGTTTTTTTTTTTTTTAAGAGTTTTTTTGCTATAGGGTGTGTGTGCTTGTCAGAGAGACAGAAAGTGAGAAATCACCCCCCCCAGGGAGGATGGCCACAACACAGTCCCTTCTCCTCCATTCTTCTCTTGGGATTTTGGGCATGCACACACACGCGCCCGGCATGAGTTTTAAACCTCTGGGTGCGGGACTTGAACCACAGTTGATTACATGGGATTCCAGTGACGTAACCTTTATGCCACCTGCTGGTCCCACTGCTTCTTGTTTTTGATGGGTGTTTAATACTTGGAACGTGATCCTGTAGTAGATAGAAATGTGTTTTGTTTCTTTTCTTTTTTTTTTGACAGAAATAATGAGCCTAGTAGCTTCATCTCAACCTATTGCTGTCCTCAGCCAAGCACAATTGTGGCAAAAGCGCATTTGTGTACAATCACTGGCTTCATACTGCCAGAGAAGATCTGTCTCCTCCTGGAACGACTGTGGTGAGAACTCTTTCGCCTCTTATCCCTTGCTTCTCGGTGGCACCGTGGCACGTCAGGGCAGTGCTGGTGTTCCACCTTGCAGCACACCCTCCCCACCATTTCTCCTTTCTTCCCTTGCTTAGGCCCAAAGTGTAGTAATATTACCATCTTTTGTTGTTGATACAGTTTGGTTTTTGATTTTTTTTAAAGAATTGTTTTATTCAACTTTATTAATTTATTTATATATTTATTTCAATTTGACCAGAGAGAGAGAAAAAGAGAGAGAGGGCAAGTGAGAAAGCACACTGCCAGGTCTGGGACTCGAACCACAGTCGGCCATGTGGGAGTCCAGCGGCCTTAACCACTGCGCCACCTGCCAGCCCCTATACAGTTTATTTCTTTCTTCTGTGAGTAAAAGGAGACAGAGATACAGCACCCCTGATAGCGTCTCAGTGCTGCCATCACCCCCAGCCAGCCTGGCTCATGGGCACATGTGTGCTTGGAGTACTCAGAGAGGTCTCGGGCTGCAAACCAGTGACCTTCCCACGTGGGTAATCCCTCCCAGGGTGTCACGTTTTACTGCCGCACCATCATCCGGCCCCAACCTTGTCATCTTAAATAGCATCTTATCCTTGCTGATTGGAAAGTTCTGTTGCCAAGTACGTGTCCTTATACAATAGGAGCTTGAATATGCGTCTTGAAAGCAAACTGCTTGTTTTACTTGTTCTGCTTCCATAGGCCGTTTTAAGTTCTATCATCACTTAAAAACGCAACAAACTTTGGGGCAAATTATGACCTGTTGAAGTATTTGAGCTCTGCAAAATATGTTTTTTCAAAATGGGGTAGAAAAGAATTGAGCATCACAGGGACCAGCAGTTAGCATAATGGCTATGTCGCTGGACTCCCATGTAATCGACTGTGGTTCGTGTCCCAGACCTGGTGGCTTAAAACTCACACCGGGCGCGTGTGCGTGCATGCACAAGATCCCAAGAGGAGAATGGAGGAGAAGGGATTGCGGCGTGGCCATCCCCCCTGGGGGGTGATTTCTTGCTTTCTGTCTCTCTGTCTCTCTCTGTCTGTCTGGCAAGCGCACGCGCCCTATAGCAAAAACCTCTCCAAAACCAAAAATCCAATGCCTAGATTTAACTCTTGAGGATTTTCCTTTTTATTATCATTATTATTTTTTCATTTTTTAATGTTAGAAAGCACATGCATGTGTGTGTGAGAGAGGTACTTTTGATAGGTCTCATCACACTGTGACCCCTTTTTCTTCAGCTCTCCAGCTCCTTGGTATCCTGGGTACACTTGTTTTCAAGCCAACCCAGGGATCTGAACCGAGAGCTGGCACGTGGCTTCCAACACTATGGTCCAGTAAGCTACAGACTTTACCACCTGGCCAGGCTGGTTTCCTTTTTAAATATAACATCCTTTTTCATGTTTATTAGTTTAGTACATTGATTTTCTTTAGTAAGAAGGATGGATTGTTAGAAATCTGGTGAATTATTCTGTGTTTCAGTTAACAGAGACTTTGAAAACAGTGCTCTTAATGGAAGGAAAACTATTCTTTTTTTTATTTTATTTTAACTGTATTTATTTTATTTGCTTATTTATTTTAATTTGGTGAGAGAGACAGAGAAAGTGAGAAAGTAATCCACCAGGTCCGGGACTCGAACTGTGGTCAGCCATGTGGGAGTCCAGCACCCTTTACCACCATGCCACCTGCCAGCCCCAGGAAAACTATTCTTATACACTTTTGTTTTTGTTTTTGATTCTTTTAGACTTAAGGGATTTTTCAGAATGAGGGTAAGAACAACTGAAGTTTTTTTTTTTTTTTTTTTTTTTGAGAGATTTTCACTGTAGGGCGCGTGCGCTCGCCAGACAGAGAGAGACTTAGAGACAGAAAGCGAGAAATCACCCCCCAGGGGGGATGGTCATGCCGCAATCCCTTCTCCTCCATTCTCCTCTTGGGATCTTGGGCACGCACGCACACACGCCTGGAGTGAGTTTTAAGCCACCGGGTCCGGGACACGAACCGCGGTCGACTACGTGGGAGTCCAGCGACATAGCCATTACGCTAACTGCTGGTTCCCCTGAAGTTTCTTTTGTGTACTGTATAGTCACATTATTGAATTCACAATGTAGTATCAAGATATTAGTCCGTATCTCCTAATTTTTACAAATAAAGGTATAATCCAAGCTTCATTAGAAAATCAGAAATCTCACGTATCCTGAATAAGTTCTTTAAAATTGTGGACAGCTCTCCCCCTTCGTTTGTTAAGAATGATCTTTCTCTTTCAGTCACTACTTCAATGAACCAAAGTTAGCTCCGTGGGTTACGCTGTCGGTTCAAGGCTTTGCAGACAGCCCTGTTTCGTGGAGAGAAAATGAACATGGCTTTCAAAAAGGAGGAGAACATTTATACAACTTTGTGATTTTTAATAATCAGGACTATTGGCTTCAGATGGCTGTTGGGGCAAATGATGACTGTCCACCATAAAAAAATACAAAATTTAGACTCAACTTTGTTTATGTCCGTTTGTTTCCATATTTCTAGTTTAGAAAAACATGTTTTCTTTATTTGTCAGAGCGTGTACACATACAAGTGCGTGAAAGAGAGAGAGAAAACATCTCCCAAGAGCCAGGTTATATTGCAACCCCCTCTCTTCTAATCTCCATCCTGTTAGGATCCCGGGCATGGTATGTACCTTCAGTGTATTGTCGCTGGGCCTGGGATTTGAACCTGGTCAGGGTAGTGTTGGATCTAGCCCCCTCTACAGAGTACTTAACTGCTGTTAAGATGTTGTATTTTGGAAAAGTCATGACACATTTTTTGTATAGAAAAACAAAAATATATGTCATGATGTTTCTGATGACTTAATAGTTTTAAGGAATATACATTTATATTAAAAAAAAAAACACCTCACACACATAAAATAGGTAAGAGCTCCCAGAAACAGTGGGTACAAGAATCCTACCAAGACTTAAAACACAATATAAAGAAAGAGAAAGCACCTTCCCTCTCCCCACGGGGCATGGTCACACTGCAGTCCCTTCTCCATCTCTCCCTCCTTTGGATATTTTTGGGCACATACGCACATGCACCTGACATGTTTTTTTTTGTTTTTGTTTTTGTTTTAATTAAAAAAAAATGCTATAGGGCGCGTACTCTCACCAGACAGACATAGAAAGATAGAGAGACAGAAAGCAAGAAATCACCCCCCCGAGGGGATGGCCATGCCACAATCTCTTCTCCATTCTTCTCTCAGGATCTTGGGCATGCGCCCAGCGTGAGTTTAAGCCACTGGGTCCGGCACTCAAACCACGGTCGACTACATGGGAGTCCAGCGAAATAGCCATTATGCTAACTGCTGGTCCCTGCACCTGACATGTTTTTGAAGCTGCTAGGTCTGAGACAAACTGTGGAGCTGACCGTGTGGGCTCTAGCTGCCCTATTCGCCATGCCACCATTGGCCCTATAAACCAGTTTAAAAGATAGTTGTTTAAACCCAAAATTGTAGTGTTGGATATATAGCAAAAGTGAAAGAATGGATGATCATAGTTTGTGAAGGACCTAAGTGGAAAAAACATTACCCTGAAACCCTTAGCCAGATGTCCCGACCCGGGGGGACAGTTGAACATGTTTCCTGAGGGAAGGAGTGAGAGCCGGGACGAGTAGCGCAGTGTTACAACACAGAGACAACACAGTGTTACAGCTCTTCAGGGTCGTCCGTTTATTGTGGGCAGCACGGAGACGACCCAGTGTTACTGCTCTTCAGGGTTGTCCAGAGACGACGTGGTGTCACAACTCTTCAGGGTCATCTGGAGACGACGCGGTGTTACAACTCTTCAGGATTGTCTGGCGATTGTGGGCCAGGGATTGTGGTTATATACATGCTGGTGGGCCGTGATTGGTTGTAAAAGGTGGGTTATGATTGGTTGCTTTGTGGACCAATCATGAGGTGCCAGATATGCAAATCTGAGGGATTCTAGTGGCCAATCAGAGTATGGTTTTGAAGGTGAGGTTTTGAAGGGAAGCCAATCATGGCTTTTGGCATTGTGTAATTGTTTGCTTTCTGAAAAACCGGCAATATTCGCTGGTGCACAGCCTCCCACAATCATCTCTAGGCAACATGTCACTTAATGTTTCAGACACCAAGCTTTCTTAGACACTCGCTCTCCTCACTGATGACAAACTCTTCCCTGTTCTCATGGCCTCCAGGCCTGGCATGTGGCATCCTTGGCCTGGCTAATCTTCTAGGAGTCAACCCCGTCAGCCCTCTGGGAACCTCTCCCAGCACCCTCACCTCGGGTAGACATTTCTCATTGGGGTTCCATCCATCTTGAGCTCTTTCTGCCATGGCACTTTCCACAGTGCATAGAAATGAGCAGTTGGGGACCGGCAGGTGGCATGGTGGTTAAGGGCACTGGATTCTCACATGGCCGACCACAGATAGAGTCCCAATCCTGGCAGCTCGCTTTCTCACTCTCTCTCTCTCTGTGCCCCTACCTGGTCTAATTAAAATATGTAAATAAATAAATAAAGTTAGATAAAATAATTCTTTAAAAAAATAAAAAGAAATGAGCAGTTCACAGGTCACACCCTCCACTGAGTGTCACTTGCCAGTATACAGATTCCACAGCCCATGTTTTTTAATTTATTTTATTTATTTTTTATTTTTAATAATGATAGAGAACACATGAACTACTTGTATGAGGTAGAGAAAGAGAGAAATAACACTTGACAGGGTCCGGTCATGCCACAATCCCCTTCCTGTCATGTGGCTTCCAGCACTGTCGTCCAGTATGCTAAAGATTGCACCATCTGGCAGGGTCACACCATCCATTTAAGACAATGCTTCTTTTATGGAACAGAGGGCGCACATTGAGGTGCTAGGGCCCCTCAACTCTGGGATTTGCTCTGAGCTGTCTGATTCAGCATCTGATGTGTGCTTGGCTGTGCTAAGACGGAAACCTTCCCTGTACACACAGCAGGGGCTGATCCTTAGCCTGGTAGCTGACACGCACACCAGGCAGTCGGTGGTCAGATGAAAGGGGATATTGGCATGTGCATACTGGCATTACATGACAGAGAAAGAGCGGCCATAGAAACTCAGCTCCTGCCAGACCCCGTGAGGGAAGATGGGAGGAGAAGTAGCACGCTGGATGAAAGGCAGTAGACTGGCTTGGCTGCTGAGGTGGAGCCTCAGGGCAATAGCGGAGCCGCTAGGCTGGCAGGACAGAGAGAAGCAGGGTTCCACCCTCGGTCCTATCCCGGAAGGAAATGTCTCACCTGCCTTTGCCAAGAGGTGCAGTGGGACTTTGGCCATAAGGTTCCTTGGACTTCAGCGGCCCAAACTCACCAAACTCCTGCAGCTTTCTTTTTTCTTTTTTGGAGAGGTTTTCGCTACAGGGTGTGTGCGCTTGCCAGAAAGACAGAGAGAGACAAAGAGACAGAGAGACAGAAAGGGAGAAATCACTCTCCCAGGGGGGATGGCCACGCCACAATCCCTTTTCCTCCATTCTCCTCTCGGGATCTTGGGCACACACGCACACGCGCCTGGTGTGAGTTTAAGCCACCCTGTCTGGGACTCAAACTGCGGTCGACTACATGGGAGTCCAGCAACATAGCCATTATGCTAACTGCTGGTCCCTACTCCCGCAGCTTTCTAGAAACATTCTTCCACTAGAGACCTGGTATCAGTAACCAGCCAGGCATGGAGACCTGTGCTGCAGGCCAGCGTCTGGATCAAACCGTGGGCAAGGAACTTTGTATTCCTTCATTCTCTCTTTGAAAGGTGGAGGGAGGAAGGGGGCCCCTCTGAAATATCTGGAAATATCTCAGGTAAATTGATGGGTAAAAAAATTCCTTTCACAAAATGTCATTTTTCAAAGAGAATCGGGCTATCTGTTTTCATCGAGAGAGATATTTCCCAGCATGATAGGATGTTCTTAAATACATTCTTACTTTCATTTATCCCAGGAAGCTAAAAAAGCAGCAGAACTGAATGAATGTGTCTTATTCCTCTTTTGAAAAATAGAAGACGGTACGTTGCTTCCTGGCATAAACCCAAGACCTGTTGCTTAAATAATGTATAACCACGTGGAGCCCGCAGGCAAATAAATTGGTTTCTAATAAGTATACTTTCGGCCAAGGGGGTTAGCTGAGGTGCACTGTCTCCTTTCTGGCTCTCTGAGGCCTGACTAGCAGCCTCAGGACTTTCAAATGCAGCCAGGGCCTTGCCCCAGGCATCTTCAAAAAGAAAAATGCTCATTTCAAGGAGCCCCAAATCTTATATAAAAACAACTTGACAGGTCTGGCTGGAATGGTCCTGCCAGAGAAGGAAAACATCCATTTAAATATTTGATTCATGTCCAAAGTCTATTCCATCAAAGAGCTGGCACCCGCGATAGTCTGCCAGCCCATTTGAGAAATTAGGCAGACACTCCCCAGGCCACCAGAGCCAAGACTGGCTCTGAGCAGTGGGCATCAGATTACCCGGTCCCAGGATAACACAAGGTCAGTCAAGTTCTGTTGAAGCCAGAGCTGCCCTCAAGTGGAGCTTTCTGCAGACTCTGGGACTTGAGCGTCCTCAGTCATAGCTAAATAGGCGTGAGGCTGAGATGCGCTGGACTGGGCACTGGGGCTCCAGGTGAGCTGGATCCAGCCCCTTGGTTCAAGGCTTTTCATTACTTTCCGTTGCTGTGTTTGAATCCTTCGACAAGGATTTTTGAGTGCTCTTGCCAAAACCCATGACGGTCAGTGAGCAATCATCTGTAGTTTGCAAAGCCATTCCATTAAGCAGCTGCTGTTTTCATTCAGAATTTTCTGGAATCTCATTGCTCGACCACCCCCACCTCCCCTTTGTTTGTTTCGCTTTTTCTTTCTTGCTTGCTTTTTTAAAAATTTTTAATTTTTCTTTCTTTAAGCACTTGGACCTCTGAGGCATAGACACGAGAATGCTTCGGGTTCACTTACATACACATTGGAAGGATTCCCAGCATTCCAGCTTCTGCAGGGAAGGGCCAGGCTATGTATCAGAGACGGAGTACCGTGAATTATAGCACCCAACAGTCTGCTATTTAGCTTAGACACAGGATACCATTCGTGGAAAAGCAAAGCACGAACGTATACAAACTAACGATACAAACAAATCTCCTTCTTTCCAGCTGAATTAAATTGTTGAAATGATTGCTTCACTGACATGCAAATTCCTTAACTCTCTTTCTCTTTTATTTATCGATTTATTTTTTATTTCATTTTCTTTTATACATTCAATCACATTATTTAGCTTGCAAAATTAATATTTCAACAGGTAAACATTTCTCCCCAGTACAGTTGATAAAACTATAAAATATCTTCAACAGATAATACCACATTTCTTTGTCCCATTAATGCTTTGCCTCCCTATTTTTCTTCTAAATGTCCTTCCTCAAACCTTCCTCTTTCACACACACTGTATCTGGTATTTACATCCATTTACTGTGTTTCTATAGCCTTTAGTCAATCAGTTTCAGTCATA